ATGACTCTATGTACTTGACTCCACGCACTGCCATCTAAGACTTTATACACTCGACCCCGTGACGTTACATAGCTCCAATTACATAGCTCCAAAACTCATGGCTAATGATGCTTTCGGGCCACTCGTCTTCTAGTTATACTACAGTGATAAAAAGGAACCCCCCACACAATAGGATTTTAAGCCCCTACAAAATCCTAAACACGAAACCCTAAACCCTAAACCCTAAACCCTATTGAGGCCCCCCATATTAGCCCCCCGACCTTGCGCACGCTGCCCTGGAGGACGGCAATGTCATCGCCGCGCTCGCAACTGAGAACTGCCAAGTCTCCTCGTCGGGCCTATTTTTGTCTTTTCCAGGCGCCTCTTTTGAAAAAGGGGTTTGGGGCTTTGGGGGTTTAGGGTTTTAGGGTTTTGGGGCCTAGGTTTGCAGGTTATTGAACATCTGTTGCCGTCTGCCTCAGGAGGTATTCAGCACGCTCCTTTCGAACGAGGTGTCATATCATCCCAGCGAAAAGGGGTTTGGGATCCAGGGATAATTTCGGGTTTTGCTTCGGAGGGGATTAGGCTTTACCCTAAACCCTAAACCCTAAATCCTCAAAGGGGCTTAGAGCTTAGGCTCGAGGGTCTTAGGGTGTTGATTCAGGCGGCAGGGTGGGAGGGTTGAGGAAGAAAAGATCCGTGAGGAGCTGGAGGATTCGGTGTTGAGGCTGGGGTCTGGCTTCTTGGGGTGTGGGGTTTAGGGTTTAGGGCTCAAGGTTTAGGATTTAGGTGATTTAGGGTTTAGGGTTTAGGGTTTAGGATTTGACTTCTTAGGGACTTCTCAGGGTGTGCCTGGGTCTCTACAGCTGGGCCCTTGAACTTGGCTCCTCCAAAGCTTTCACTGCAGGTTCCGATACCTCTGCTCGTTTTTACAGATGGTGTATCCTGTCGTGACTGTAGATCATGCTATTTCAGCTATCACGAAACGATATGATCAGCTCAAGCCCTAGCAGAATCACTGCACTCGGAAAGCAACACCCATCAGATCCCGATGACGGCTTCTCACTTTGACCGTTGAAGACCCAGAGACTCCAAAACCCCTTAGTTAAGGGATATACCTTAAATCATATTAGGGATCCTACTATATTTTAAAGTATATTCCTTAATTAATGGACATTGGAGTCTCTGGGGGCAAGCTGTGTGTGCGGACGGTGCGGTCCTGGCTGGAGCCACTGGTACTCTGACAGCTGGACATCCACCTGAAGAGCGCCGGAGCCATTCCGAAAGCCCAGACAATTCCAAAAGCCCCTCTTTCCTCAAAGGCTCTATATTTGGCACGATGTAGAGGTTTATATCATGCGCTTGGTCAAAAAGCGGTCTGGCCCTCCCTATCGTGTGGACCCTCTCTCCCTCAACTGCAAGCTTTCGGCTTCGGGTATGCACCGCGTTTAGGGTTTAGGGTTTAGGGATTCAACAACAGCCCCCTTGAAAACCTTGAGGAACCCTGACGAACCCTTGGAGAACCCTGAAGGCCCGAAAGACCACCCTTGACCTCCTGACCTCGGGGCTTTTTCCTGAGATCTTCGAGCCTTGCTACATCTCTTGTATGGAGCCAAATACTCAAAGATCGAAAGCTCTGAATGGGCTGTAGGCATTTTAGGGGGGGATTCTTTCAGGATTTCGTTGGGGTTCAGAAGGTAGCGGCCCTTAATGGCTTCGAGTTTAGGCTTGAGGGCGTAGGGGTTTAGGGTTTAGGCCAGCCTGTGTTTCTAGGTTTGCCACTGCGCAACCTACCAACCACTGTTCCAGCTGGAGTAAGATATTATGATTACAGTCAATGCCTTTTCCTTCCCTTTTACTCTCGCTTCAGGGACCCAAGCGAAGCTATGCAAAAAAACCTAATCCCTAAACTAAACCCTGAACCCTAAACCCTAAACTACCCTAAACTAAACCCTAAACCCTAAACCCTGAACTACCCTAAACTAAACCCTAAACCCTAAACCCTGAACTAAACCCTAAACCCTAAACCCTGAACTAAACCCTAAACCCTAAACCCTTGGGTCCGCCTGGCACTGGAAGAAGCGCTTCCGGCCCTCCATCCACCACTCCAGGCCCCAAGCATCCGCCGAGGGCGTGTAGGCGGCGCCCGAAACCGCTGCGGCATGCACCTCTCTCAGGGTTTAGGGTTTAGGGTTTAGGGTACCCAGAGACCCCAATACCCCTTAATTAAGGAATATAGCTGAAATTATAGTAGGATCCCTAATATGATTTAAGGTATATTCCTTAATCAAGGGGTATTGGAGTCTCGCTTAGGGCCGGGCTTTAGGATTTGGGAGTTACGTTAAGGCTTCATGCGCTTCTCCCTTCGGCTTCGGCTTTTTGGGGCTTTTTTGTCGGTTGAAGATGGAGGACTTCGGGGTTTTCGGGTCATGGAGCCTGGGCTTTAGGATGGGCCAAGGATCCGATGGCTCAGGGATGTAGACCCCTTACAGAATCCCGGTTTAGGGTTTAGGGTTTAGGGTCTAGGGTCATCCTGCAAGAAAAACCCTGAATCCCCGTAGCCCTAAACCCGAAACACTTCCGGGCAGGACTTCAAAACACGTGTGGTAACCCTTGTAAACCCCTTTTAAAAGGAAGCCTCGTGACAAGAAGCCTACCCAGAGAACCCAATACCCCTTCATCAAGGAATATACCTTAAATCATGATATTAAGGCCCATATAATTTAAGGTATATTCCTTAACTAAGGGGTATTGGGTTCTCTGTGCATAACCCCCTTAACCCCGCCTGGCAGGATTTCACCCTGGCCCAGAGCTTTGAGTAGGTCTCCACCCGGCGGTCCAAGGTGGCCCACTCGCTGAGGTCCGGCCAAGAAGAGAACATCTCGGGGAACCTGGGCCCGTTTTGTTGGGGGAGTTATAGGAGCTTGTATAGAAAGTTTAGGAGCCCTAAAAAAGCCAAAGGTGCCCTAAGATGGGCCCCTTCTGTTGTGGGATTTCTAGGATCTTGCTAGGGCTTGGATCAGGGTTTTATCAGGCGTTATAAAGGGTAATGACAAACCTGTTACTGGGCCTCCTGATCCTTCATGCGGGGTTTGGGAGTTCAAAACGCTTGGTTCGGATTCGGTATGGCATTGATGGCTTTTGTCTCTTTCCGAAGTCGACAGGCTATATAGGGGCCTTAATAATTGAAATAGGGTTTGGGGGTACATTATACTATAGTTGCAATAAGGAACCCCCAAAACCCTATTCTAATTTTTAAGGCCCCTACAGTAGGATTGGCGAGTTTCGTGAACCTTGCAAGCCCCCAGGCTGGCAGGAGAGTGAGAGAGCTTCGGGGTATTCTGACGTTGGAAAGTTGGGGAGAAAAAGGGTGCCTTCATACGGAATGGGGCGGGATTGGGGCCGTGTTATGGTCAAATCATACGAAGAACCTCTAAGGAATAGTATTTTCGCCAACTCTACTCAGGACCCGACCTAAAACCCTTATAGTTACGCTCAAAGACCCCTTCAAAAGAAACCCAAGTGATCTTATCTCCAGTTTCTCAAACCTCTAATGCCAAAGCCTCAACCCTAAACCCTAAAACCCTAAAACCCTAAACCCTAAGCCCTTATCCCTAAACCCGTATCTCCAGTTTCTCAGACCTCTCCCCCTCCGCTGCTCCGGGAGACATCTTCTGACCCACCGCGAAGGAGATCTCGTTTTCGAGATCCTCCCAAGGTTTGGGTTTAGGGTTTAGGGTTTAGGGTCTTTTTGTTGACACCTTTTTTTCCAGGTGCTGAGATTATCTCATCGTTAGAGCCTTAGTAGGCATTGGGGTTTAGGGTTTAGGATTTAGGGTCTAGGCTTTAGGTTCTAGGGTTCGGTTTCGAGGTCCTCTCAAACTTTGAGAATCGATTCATGTTGAAGTCCCTGCTGTTTTCCTTGTTAGGGGCCTTAATATTGAGATCCCTACAAGTAGGGGCCACAGCATTGCAACACTACCATACTCCTTATGAGGGGCCTTAATAATACTGGGATTCCTACGATGAACCCTTATCAAAGGCATGCCAAGCAAGAGCACTCCGCGGCCTGCTTTGGGTTTCGGGTACAAGAGTCTAGCTAAAGCCCAAAAGTGGTGAATCGCTGATTTATCACCCTAACCCTCCAGGTACCTACTATATAGCGCCCTAGGGGCTCTAGTACCCCATCTAGTAGGTACCGGGGAAGTTAGGGCTACTTTTTGGCAGCTCCATGGCCTGGCAGTCCAGCTTCTGTATTCAACCACTTCGGGGTTAGGGCTTTTTCGGGTTTAGGGTTTAGGGTTTAGGGTTGAGGGTTTAGGGTTTAGGGTTTAGGGTTGAGGGTTGAGGGTTTAGGGTTGAGGGTTTAGGGTTTAGGGTTTAGGGGCCCTGAACGTCACGGTCAGGTGCGGATTGAATTGTCGGGCATTGCGGCTTCAGACCTAGAGACGTGGGTCGAGTACAAAGCTGGGTTCTTGTTAAGGGATTCAATCTAAGTTACCACAATACAGAAGTCATACTGTTTACTATAGATCCCTATCCTGGCAACTTAAACTAAACCCCATAATCAAGTACAAACTCCAGGACCCCCAGAACCCGCAGTGAGAGTGGCAAAGGCTTTAGGGGGGTGGCTGCTCTAAACCGTGGGACAGCTTCCGGGACCTCGGAGTTGCAGTGATTCTTCTGAGACCACGGTTTAGGGGCTTAGGGGCTAGGGGTCTAGGGCTTCAGGGCTTTAAGGGTTTAGGGCTTCAGGCTTCAGGGCTTTGTGGCTTTAGGGCTTTAGGGCTCTAGGGGGTTTGTTTAGGGCTTTGGGTCAAGGGAGAGAGGAGATCCGGGCTCCTCGTGGAAGGTCATCTCGCTGATCACCACCGAGTTGGGACTCGCATGGTGCGGGATTGGCTGGGCAAAATTCCTGGAGATCGTACCTGGGCTGTTCTAGAACTACCCCTCAAAAATTCTAGCTTCGACGCCTTCTTGAGACTATACCGTACTAAAATTTCAACAAGCTGTTTGTAGGAACGGCCAGGTGCAGGTGACGACATGCGCGTGCCACGACCTCGCGCTTTTATCACCAGCAAGGCTTCGGTGTTTACGGATGTTTGGGGGCGTTCCTTCGGGCGGTTGGGGAGCCTATAGCCGTCTGTAAAGATGAGAACTTCTCCGTGGTTTTGGGGGTAAAGATCCCGAAACCCAAAGCCCACCGGCCCCGAAGACGGGATTTCGGCCGGGGAGCCGAATGCGTAGCTGCCTGGCGTCGCCGGGATATGCGGTGCCGGAGATGGTGAGCTTGATGGACTGCGTGGTGCCGTCATACTCCGACACACACGTGGAGCTGCAGAGCGCATCCACCGGGACCTTCAGCTCCAGCACATCGAGGCTGGGAGACGGGATGAGGACGTTGATGTAGGTGGGCCCGACGGCCCCGATGACGGCATCGAAGATGCGCTGGCCGTGGTTGGAGAGTTCCCTCATGCGGGAGATGGTTCGGAAGATGTAAAGCCCGAACTTCTGCGACTCGAGTCGAGCGTTCGCTCTTGCCACAGCCTCCTCCAGTTCCCGGCGGGAGAGGCGAAGGTGGTCGCAGGTGGCCCGCCACCCCAGCTGGCACCTGGCGACTTCCAGAAAGTGCCGAAACCCCACCTACAACTCGGAATTTGTTCAAGTATTGGGCTCCCATGAAAGGCTCCCGACAACCCCCCCTCCCCCGCTCGGGCTTTAAAGCTCGCATGCCCAGGATGTCCAGGTGGCGATGAAGCGGCGCTGTCACATGGAAAAGAGGTTCCTCCTTGCAGGGTTGGAGCACGAGGGAGCGGGGGGGCGTCTTCATGGGGTATCCTTTATCGGGACCCGTTCTTTGAGTCAAACTTGGAGGACCCTCTAGCCCAGGCTAGAAAAGTATTTATATCCTGAGAATGTGGTCGAAGAGGTCCACATCGTGTCTTCTGGGGGGATCCAAAAGAAGCAGATCCCCCTTAGTTTGGGACCCAAACTACTAAAGGGTACTTTATAGGAGCCCCCTTTAACGGATCTGTTCATTGGATCCTCCCGGTACTCTGGGAAGGATGTATGAAATGCAGGGCGTCTCGGACGAGGCGCGCCATTGGCTCAAGGCCCACATTGCTTGTCTCAGGCTTCATGGGCTCGGAGTGTAGCTTTTGGGATCCTTATTATACCCTAACCTCCCAGGTACCTACTATAAAGGGCCCTAGGGGCTCCAGTGCCCTATAAAGTAGGTACCTGGGGGTTAGGGGATAATTAGAATATAATAGTCCCCAAAGCCCTATTCTAATTATTAAGACCCCTTTTTTACCGAACCCATATAGTAGCCCATAAAGAACCCTTTAAAGGAGCCTTTTAACGGAAGTCTATTCTACTTATAAATGCCCCATGGTACGGGGTCATACGGCTTTGGATCTCAATGATTAAAGCTTTGAGTCTCACGGTTGAAAGCTTTGCGGATCTTTGGCCTAATTTAGGGTTTAGGGGCTTAGAGTGGATTTAGGGTCCAGGGCTCTTAGGGTCTAGGGTTTTGAAGTTTAAGGTTTTGGGTGTAGAGTTGAAGCTATAGGGTATTCTGGTCCCAGGGCCAACATCGAACACCTGGTCTGCTGCAGAGGCCTGAATACCTCCAACCGTAATGATAGTGCCGTAAAGTCCCACCCCTCTCTTCTTCAATCACCGGGCTCAACTTGACCAAGTATATTAAGCCTTAAAAAGTCTATAAAGTTCTGCCATTGGCTATCCAAGTGGTCCCGATAAAGTCATGTTACCATATATAAACCCTAAACCCTAAACTCTAAACCCTAAACTAAACCCTAAAATCGAAACTCTAAACCCTAAACTCTAAACCCTAAACCCTGAAATCTAAACTCTAAACCCTTAACCCTAAACCCTTAACCCTAGGCCCTAAACCCTAAAATCTAAACTGTAAACCCTAAACCCTGAACTCTAAACCCTAAACTAAACCCTAAAATCGAAACTCTAAATCCTAAACTCTAAACCCT